CCCCCCTGGTGGAGGGAGAAGACAGCTAGCTTACCTGACCAGCTGTGGTCTCCTGGAAGCAGCGGCCCAGTGTGTTCTTGGAGGTGGCAGGCTGGTGGTACTGGAGAACCTTTTGGCCCTGCTGGTTAGGGTGGCCATGCTGCTGGATCTTCTGGCTGCTTTCAGAGTGGTGATAGTTGTAGCTGGACCCGTGCTGCCCGTTGATGGAGTAGTTGTCCAGCTTGGATACCTGGTGAATCTGAACCGAGGCTTCTGGAGGGTGTTTGATGTGAATGTTGACCGTTCCTGAGCTGAACACTGGGGGGCATAATGACCACAACATGTGACTCACACACCAACACAATTCATATGAACAAATCTCCACCTTCTAGTGTTTTCCTGGTGGATGGAAAGGGAAGTTTATTTCTATAGCACCATACAACAGAAAGACAATGCAGAGTGCTATAAATGAGTTAAACAGTAAAACAGAAGGAAAATAAAAACAGAATAAAAGCAATTAAAGATGAAAGCATGCTAAAAGCAGGTAGTAAAGCAAATCAAACAGTTGGATCACAACCTTAAACTAATGATTCCTGTTAACAGTTTCTCCAACAGTCAAAGGTAGCTCTTAACTAATGGGATTTTAAAGCCGGACATACACTGTGTGATTTTTTCAATCGTCGCACGCAGCTACAGCTCACACTGTACATCGAAACCTCAGGGTTTAAAAGTTCCCAGCTCACGATGTTTGTTCTCACACTGCGCGACCCGACGCTCTGATGCGATCTACCTGCTCACACTGTACGTCTAAAAAACCAGGTGGGACTCAGCTCCGCGGTGAGATGGAGCTTGTGTCATTTTATGCTGAAAGCCCTAAAGAGAAAAGGTGACGACGTATTTGGACAAAGACATGGCTGAGCAAACTTGGCTACTACGGTCTGTCAGTTTTACAGAAAGAATTCCATTTCACTCGCATCCCCGCCATGCTTCTGTGTTTTCCTCTGAGAGGAGGAAGAAGAAGAATCCTTGTTTGCGCACTGAGCGATTTGGCCACTCGCCCCTGGTTACCCCCTGTACACTACACGATGCACCATCAGACTGAAAGTCGGCCCAATCGAAAAATTTTTGCACGACATGAGAATCGGCCCGAAAATCGCCCAGCTTAATTGAAATTATGGGTAAATAATTGGATGAAAAGCCAGCAGAGTCCAGTCGACTCCTTGGAGGATTGGGCCTACCTCTGGAAGCAGATCCAGACTTTGCTGAGAGTAAATGAATCTAAAATCGATTAGAGGGATTAGAGGGAGACTGATTCATCACAGGTGACATTTCTGGCCCAGATTCCTGATCGGGAGATGGTGGTGGGAGGCTGATCGCCCCTCATTTCCCCCTGTACACTACATGACGCACTATCAGGCTGAAAGTCGGCCTGATCAAAAAACTCTTGCATGACTGGAAAATCAGCCTAAAAAGGGGAACAAATCGTACAGTGTATGCCCTGCTTAACAGGTTACCTCAGAGGAACATTCAGGAGCACAGCAAACAATCAGGGACATAGAAGCGCAGGAGAGAATAAGCTTTGATCAAAATGGAAAATAGGAAAAAAAAAAAAAAAACAGTTGACAAAGGATGAATTAACAAATAATATTTGAAAATTTGTGGGAGGCTTTTTTTCCCCCCTGCTGAGCTCCAGTGCTCAGCCTCGCTTTACGTCTCTTGTCCAGGTGAGCCTCCCTCAAAGCGGAATAAAAGTTTTGGATCCTGGGAAAAGACCTGCCACACATTTTTATTTAGCAACGTGAGCTGGAGCAGAAAAGTGCCACAGGTAAGATGGCCTGTTTTAGAGCACCGGACACGTGCTGCACTCCTGCTGCAGCAATAATAGAAATAAATACATTTCTGCTTTTTTTGTTTTAGGAATGATCCCTTCCAATCCAGTGTCACAGGTGGGGAAAATCTTCAACAGCACCTCCCTCATATGACTCAACATATGTTGGGTCACAGAGTTTGGTGAAACACCGACGTGCCGCCTGCTCATTACTGCACTGAACAAACTGAGATGAAAGCAGATAAGGGGATTTTCTCTTCATTTGAGCAGCTAAATAACAACGTTTGCCAATGAAATAAGATGCTTTACACATCAAATAAAAATAAATCTTATTCTTCTTATTTTAAGAAAAAAAATCCTTTATTTGATTGGCAGCAGGTTAAATTAAGAGCAAACACACTTTTTTCAAGTCATTTAGATCAGTTTTGTGTAAATTATCTAATTGGGTATAATGGCAGCCCTCTGGCTAAGTATTTATTGTCTTTAGCGTTGATTGTCTGCATCAAGGGTCTGAACTGCACATATAGTGGAACAGACAACAAAATGAATTAGGCTCAGATAAGATAATAACAAAAATAACTTAATTAAATCTTAATTAAGGCCACATTTTATCCAAACCCCTTTTAGTTCCATATATCTATATATTTCCATATGATCCAGGGTTAATTAGGGGATTGATGCAAAAAGGGAGTCAGAGTGAAGCTTTAAGAGAAATTACCCATCATTTATTTAAACAAAATTTATATCATATCCAGATTTTTCCCATTGTGGGAAAATAAAGGTATATTTCTATTCTATTTTTTTCTATTGTATTCTATATCCATCGATCAATATCCGATCGGTTTCAGCTGTTGATTGAATGAACCATACAGCCGCCATGTGAGTAAAGACTTTAGCCTCCACATAAACATTGTTTAAAAAGGTAAAAAAAAAATTGCACATATATAAATTTACTTTATATTATTTATAAACAAATAAGCAGCAAAAAGAAAAAAAAAAAACGATTAATTGATGAGTGAATCTGATCCGGCTAATTAGTCAATATCTCAGCTGATATCGGATCCATTTATCGGATCAGTGCATCTTTTAGTAAAACAATAAAAATAAAGTATGTTTGTTAATTAATTAGAATCTGAAATGGAGATTTTATTCTTGCATCTCCCACAGCTGCATAAATAAATGTTGAATCTATTCTGACAGGACCCTTTTATTAAAGCATAATTTCTTCCTTTTTCTGATGCAGAACATCTCTTTGCTCACTACATACAAAAAAATAAAACTTTAAATGTCAAAGTTTAATAATCACAGATTGGTGCAATCCCCATTACTGTTTAATTCTGTTCATTTTTTGTTATCTTTACAACTAAGTTAGTGATATTCTGTTAAAAATACCAGAAAGGCAACATGGACAAAATCACTTGGACTTTCTGCCTATATCTTCAGTTATAATCTTGAATCGATGAAGCTGTGATTACTGATGTAATGGAAATCTGTCTTTCTAAATAAAAAATTATATATATACAAAAAAAAATCACAGATTAAATAAATTATGTTTTAGGAGCAAAACTGAGTGTTTTACTCACCAGGGTTCTGTCCATGACTGTATGTTAGCGGCAGGCTATGAGTAGAGAGGATCTGAGACTGGCTGTAGGCTGCTGAGGACTGCTGATGATGCTGCTGATGATGATGCTGCTGATGATGATGCTGGGATCCACCATAAACTGGCATTTGGCAAAACTTTCCCACAAAGTTTGGAGGACACTGGCACTTGTCCCTGGCACTGCATTTACCCCCATTGATGCACGGTAGGTGACACACCACTGAGAAGATGAAAGAAAAAGTCAAAGACAGAAGCGGATCTTTATAAAGGTTCACTAAGCAAACAGTGAACAGAATACATCCATTCAGTTGTTCTTTTTGGTCTTTATTTTAGAAAACAACAAGAAGAAAGCAGAGAAATGCTGACCTCCTGCTGGCCGATCCTGGTTTACACATTTCTGATTCTTGATGTAGGCATTTCTGCATTCTGTAATACATGTTTCTAGATTCTGTTGTTCACCTACAAGTCTTAACATTTAATGAAACAATTTGAGAAGAATAAAGGTCCACCTGGCTGATGATTGGAATTGATACCAGATAAGAGAAGAGTTGGAATGCCTGGAAATTAAACATGGAATTTAAATAGTGTTAGAAGTCTGCTCACTTTGTTTAGAGTAAATTTCATGAGTTAAGGGATATTATACTTTAGCATACGTGAGGTCAGCTGATTGAGTCATCTATTTCCTGATGGAGAAAAGAAGCTCTATGTGTGGATTCTATGAAATATGATAGGAGGTCTTTTAAAGGTTGCCTGTATCCAGGACTTAAGCTGGGCATACATTGTGCAATTTTTTTCAATCGTTGCACGCAGCTAAAGCCCAAACCGTACTACAAAATCGCAAGGTTTCGTCGTGCAGTGCGAGTTCACAACTCATGATGTTTGTTCTCACTCTGTGTGACCCGATGCTCTGATGCGCTCTACCTGCTCACACTGTACGTCTAAAAACCAGGTGGGGCTCAGCTCCAGTGAAAATCCAGGTGGGGCCTGGGTGGTCCGCCGGTGCCGGGGCTGTCACTTCTGCTCTCCCCAAAGGAGAATGGAGGGAGGGGCGCGTAGCAATTGAGGGGTAGTTAGTTAGTTGGGGGTAGTGGGGGTTGCTCTGGTTGGGTGGCCTGAGTGGGGCATGTGGGCCCCGATCCCGGGGGAGCTTTTACTGGGGGTGGTCTGGTCTTGGTGTGGGTTGGGGGGCCGGGCTCGAAGCAGGAACGAGATGGGTTTCTGTGGCGGTGTCACCGCTCCCCTCCCTCCCATCTGGATTTTGGGTTCACTTATTGGGTCATCCGATAATCCCGGGACCAACACCGGTGCCGCCCGGTCCTTGGTCCTGGTATTATTGGATGTGAGTGTTATGCGTGAATGCGTGTCCACGTTTTTTGGCTCATCCCTACAGAGTCTGTGTGGTGTAAGTGGGAGCACTAGGGTGGGAAGGTGTAATTGAGACTGTTTTTTTTTTCTTTGTCAGGTTGGGGTCTGAACTGCTCCCTCTCCCTAACACATCTCAAGTCTCCGCCAAGTGCGGAGCCTATTCCCCCCGTCCTGCTCTCCCTCTGCTGGCTGGTGCCTGGGCTCGCCGGTGCACTGGTGGAGCTCGGGGTTTGGGGGTGGATGCCCGAGTGGCTACTGGCTTATTCCTGGTGGCTTCTTATTCACAATGGGGACTCGTCCCCGCGGCTCCTGGGCGCTCCGGTATTGTGGTGGTTTGGGGACTTCCTCTGGGCTGTCTCTCCTCCTCCCTTGGTGGGGGTCGGATTTCCTGGATTGGCCCCTCTTTGGCGCCTTCGCTCTTGGGGTCCCTTTGAGCGTCTGGGGCTTTCGGTCTCCCGTCGCTGGACTCAGTGCTCTGCAATACTCCCTGCATGAATTATAATAAAGCTATTCACATTCATAAATCAAGCAGAATACTATGGCGATAGCCGTAATGCTCCACTTGTGAAAGTAAAATCTGCTGGGCCCTTTTTTGGCATCAAGACAATTATTCTTATTCCCACACAGACAGGACACTGTTAAAAAAAAAAAAAAGAAAAGAATGGGACATGGACCGGTTAGTCATACGTCCCACCTGCCTAACCGTCAATCTAGGGATGTAGAAGGGAGCAATACTCTGCAGGAAACCAGATGGGTTTCAAAGCTGTGACCGCGTTACCCTAATGAGCCAGAGGACCAGGTCCCCAAGCCCCAAAACAACATAAAGTCAGATTTACAGTTTAAAGCTTATTGGTTGGTTTTAGGAACTTCAGGACCAGAAACAGTGCCTTGGAAAAGTATTCAACCCACTTGAACTTTTCCATCTCTGCCACATTACAGGCTTCAAACATAAAGATATCAAATTTTATTTTTTTAGGAAAAATCAACAAGTGGGAAACAATCATGAAGTGTGTTTCAACACCATTGGCCTGAATTTCCTCCTTAATCAGAGCTGATTGTAGATCACAGCCTGATGAAGCTACTAGAACCACATCATCCGGGAACAGTAGAGGCACATTTCTAAGGCCACCATAACAGATTCCCTCAAACACTTGGGCTGGGCCTAGAAATTCTGGCCATAACTGTTAAAAGCTGAATTTGTGACAAAGGGTGACCTTGGTGGAGTCAAAGTCTCATTGGAAATGAGCCCAACCTACTGCCAACAATGCGGACCAGGCTCTAGCACCGGTTATACAGGAAACTAAGATCCACTATTTAAGGGCCTTGTACCCAATCCCCCAACCCCAACCCCCACCCCCTTCCCCAACCACAAAGCACATATGGACTGGTTGGGCAGGCTCTAGGGGTGTCAAAAATAATCGATTCAGCGATGCATTGCAATGCGGGGCATGCACGATTCAGCATCGATGCGGCAACGTGCCATAATCGATTATGTCACTGTTTATTTTCTGGCCTCAAATGGACAAGTTGTGAAGTTTCAATTACTTCCGGGGGCATACCAACAACAATCAAGATGGCTGAGGCGGAGGGAGATGACCGCAATAGACGGGTAGGCCTAATTAAAAACGCACCAAAAGCTTGGAAAGCGGATATCTTGGCACATTTCGGATTTTACGAAGTCGATGGGATTTTGATGCATCGCAATGCATTGTAGAATCGAATTGAATCGAATCGTTACCTGGTGAATCGTAATCGAATCGATCGTGAGGGCAGTGCCAATGCACACCCCTAGCAGGCTCCCATGAAACTCTTGCCGCCTGCTGAGGGTGTAGGGCGTGTCAGGTGTTCTACGACCAGTAAAGGGTTAGGACAATGATGGAAATACAACTAGTAACAGTCTGGTGCTCAAAATCAATAAAAACAAAAGAGATCGTTTTTTAATTAATGAAAACTCAATTTAGAAGGTGTTCGACTTAAAGTTTTTAGCTTTTTCCATCACCGTGAACATCTATCAAAACAATTCCATTTAAATTCAATTCAGTTTATTTATATAGCGCCAATTCACATGTCATCTGAAGGCACTTAATAGTTCACAAAATCATAGTCAAATTCATTAAAAAGAAGTTATAAAACAGACAGTTTTAACTGACCTAGAATTGAAATGTATTTCTTCACTGGAGACTAAAGTAGAATTTAATTTTTGAATTGAATTTAAAGGTTGTGCTTTCTTTTATACCTTTATTCAAACTATTAGGATTTATATGTTGATTCTATTAGCAGGTTGTATATCTTAGACTTTCTATTACATCTGGTTAAATGCGTTTGTTCATTGTTGAGTTGTTATTTTTGGATAAAGGAATGCTGTGAACATGAAATCATGGGCCATGTTTACACTTTCATTAGTTTGAATGTTCCAGTGTTTAGAGACATGGTGAAACTCAGACCATGTGTTCTGGAAACGATAAGTCAGTTCAGAGGTGTACGAGACATCAAAGACTGTTAGGGAGTGCAAACAAATTCACCTTTTATTCCCAGTTCACCATGAGTCATTCCAGATCACTTTATTTTCTCAAGATAAAAGAATGAGTCTGTCACACTCCTACAAGCCCAGTTTGGACTTTAAATAAACTATCATTTGGTTTCACTTCTTTTTTTAAA